TGAGTGGGCTGGAAATGGAATATACAGTCACAAAAAGCAGAGATGGAGAAAATTTAAATATTTTTGTCCATTTTACTTGTGCTTTTGCAGAAATCTTTGTGTGGTTATGTTTTTAATAAGTCAGCTGGCAAAGTATGATTTGAATGTATTTGGTAGTTTTTGTTCATTATAGGGTGCGTTAGGACGTCACATTGACAAAGAAAATGTCCTTAATAAAAAGACATAATAGAACTACTGACTAGTTTGAAAGAAGGAACTTGGATAGACTAGAAAGATCATTTAACTGCAGAAGAAAAACTGCATTTTACGGAATTAAAACTCCCTACATACACAGAATAGTGTGTAGGTAGTAACACATAATAGTAACACAGAATATTGGCTGAAGCTGTTTTTATCACTGGAGTACCCATGCTTCATTCTCCTTCATTGGCCAGTGGTGCTGTCCTCTCACTTATTTTAAAGTGAAATACCTCTGTTAAATGTTACTATATGCTATATAGTAAATGTTAATATATACTAYATAGTTGTGAATTTCTTTCTTTCTTGAATTATGAATTTCCTTAGAAACAGCGTAGCATCTGGGGAAGACAAGGTTACCAAACTGAAGGTCACCATGGTGGCGTGGGATAGACACGATGCCACTGTCATCACTGCAGTCAACAATTTCCTTCTGAAAGTGTGGAACTCGTCCACAGGGCAGCTTCTTCACAGCTTATCTGTGAGTAAAATCCCAGCAAATAACCCCAAGGGGTCTATAACTGAACTCTGAAAATGATTTGAGGTTTGAATTGCATCCTCATTCCTCTTGCAACAAGGTGAGGAGTGTTTTGCTTTGAAGTGTTCCAGTTGTCTTGTGCTTTTTGGGGAGAGTCTCAGGGGGAAAGGAGCTGGTGACCAAAGTGCTGCTAGACCCTGCTGGTTGTTGGCTGATGAGGGAGCCCTTCGGAGGCCACTGCTGTGCCCAGGTTAGGGGGTTGCAGCTGCCCTCGCCACTGTTTTCCCCTTCCGTTCAACTGTGCTGAGCTCTGGGCTGAGGAGCACTAATAAGGTCAATAAAACAGGCACTARTAAGGTCAAGCCTCTGACAGAAGGGAGAACTGAGTGCAAACACGGTTCTAGTTTGAGATGCAGGAAGTGGAGCTGCTCTGCTGAAATGTCTTCACACTAAATACTAGCATGYTTAGAGATATTACGTGAAGAAACATTCTTTTTTTCACACTGCTTTCTTTGCAGGGTCACGATGATGAAGTTTTTGTTCTGGAAGCCCATCCATTTGACCAAAGGATCATACTTTCAGCAGGTCATGATGGGAATATTTTTATTTGGGATATAGACAAAGGAACAAAAATTCGCAACTACTTTAATATGGTAAGAAAAGTCTGGAAAGAAGTGTTTTGTTTTGTGTTTGTGTAGAATTGGACACAAGGCACAAGCAGGTTTCATACCCAGGTGACCCTGATACACCCAGGGTGACCAGTGTTACAACAGGATATTAAAGGATACTAACATATTAAAGAGAAGATCCTATACTGTTCAATAAGCAAGGCCGAAGTGTATTTTTGCATCTTATAGCTGTAGTAATAGATCTCTTTTAGAGTCTGTTACCAATGTACATGAATAATTTTCGTATGTGTGGTTGTATCATGCAAAAGATGGAGCAGTGTAAATCAGTAAGTCTGTATGTTGTAACACAAGGCTGTGGTCTGGGGAACGGGGCTCTGTGCTACATCTCTCTTAATATGCCCAATGTCAGGTTCGTTCCTTTGATCCTAGTGCTGAGCAAATGCAGCTGCTCTGCGTCTGCACCAGAGCTAGTTTAGGTTTTCTTAGCCAAACTTGCTAACACTTGGGTTTGGAAAGCTGCTTTTGCAGAGCTAACGTGCCTTTTATGATGTTTTGGTGTGAGCCTGCCCTGTATTTTCCAGTATCATAAAATACAGAGTTTGCAGTGGCTGTTTTAGAACATACTTTAAAGTTGCACTGAAACTTCAGGAAATGAGAAAATGCGAGATTTCAACTTAGAATATTCAGTGAAACTTTAGTAAGGAAATGGGAAAAAAGCAGAAGTGCTAATAGGTCTTGGGTGAGATCAGAATTTACACTGAATTAGGATTTAATATGTGAAGGAGCGCAGGTGAAATTCTTCTGCTAATGCCTGAATAGTGATTGCATGATTTTAAAATCTGTTTACTTTGATACAGATTGAGGGCCAAGGCCACGGAGCAGTTTTTGACTGCAAGTTCTCACCAGATGGGCAGCATTTTGCTTGCACAGACTCTCATGGACATCTGCTACTTTTTGGGTTTGGATGCAATAAATATTATGAAAAGGTGGGTTAAAGATTTCAACTCATCTGTGTCTTGAACTGATTTTGTGTCAGAAGTACTTGTTTTACAAGTACTGCACCAGACTAAATAATGATAAGATCATGGAGCAGTTGCTATTTATCTAAGTTAGGAAGGTTCAGATAAGAGAATCTGTGGTCAGGGGAAAAAAAGCATTAACTTCTGTCTTCACCTCCACTGGTGCATTATACTATTGAATTCTGATTTTTGCATCAGGCTTAGGTAACAGAAGACATTTGTGGTAGGAATCTAATCTCTGTCATATTATTTCCTGTGCTGATCTTAAGTGTGGGAGTTGTGGTATGTGGCTATGGGAGCCATTCCAAGGCAGCAAGACAGCTGCAAGTGGCCATTTATTTATTTACTAAATTGCTCTTCCTGCAGATTCCAGATCAGATGTTCTTCCATACGGATTACCGACCACTGATCCGTGATGCTAATAACTATGTTCTGGATGAGCAGACTCAACAGGCTCCACATCTTATGCCTCCTCCGTTCCTGGTGGATGTTGATGGAAATCCTCATCCCACAAGATACCAGCGGCTGGTGCCAGGGAGAGAAAATTGCAAGGATGAGCAGCTTATCCCTCAGCTGGGATATGTGGCTAATGGTACGCTCTGCAATGCAGGTGTAATACGTGTGCTGCGTTGTATTGAGAACCAGCTCAGTGAGTGGCTACTGTAAAGATTTGTTGATTTCAGTTCTTCTGACAATAGCAGTTTAAATTCAAAGTAAAGGTAGAAGAGGAGATAGGGCGGCTTTATGGCATAAAGGAAGTGTATGGGATTGACTTTGCTGGTGRTATAATGAGGAGACTGCATATTGCAGGATCCGTGGGCCTCTGTCAGGTATAGTGCAGCAGTCTCAAAGAACTGTCCTGTTAACCTCAGTGTAATGACACGTGTCATCAAGGAAGGAGAAGGAGAGAGGCAAGACATGGAAAAAACACCTTTTGTGGTTTAAAATGGGCATTTTTTTTTCTTGTATATATTAACTTTGCCATATGCAGGTCTCTATAAGAGCTCTTCTGTTAATACCTACTGAAGYGTCTTTTCTTTTTCTATGGTGTTTAGTAAAACAGAAATTAATAATTTTATAAGCAGTTTTGGCTTTGTTTTTGTCAAGGTGATGGTGAAGTAGTTGAACAAGTCATTGGGCAGCAAACTAATGACCAGGATGAAAGCATTCTTGATGGAATGATTAGAGAGCTGCAGAGGGAACAAGATCTGAGACTAATTAATGAGGGAGAAACTCTYCCAACCCCTCCGCTCAACAGATCCCACTCTGTTAATGGTGGTAAGTCGGCCCTCTTTACCTCTGTTAACCATTTCTTGTAGTAAAGTATGGTAARATACTAATCAAAGTGTGTTAAGTTACTGCATGTTTCAGGATTATGGCTTTGAGGAAGGTTTCTTCTCTTGTTCTTATGGATGTTGCTGACCTGTGTGGAGCATTTGAGCATTTTGCTAATGCTGACAGAGGAAATGAAAGTTTAAGGTGTAGTTGAGGACATGCAGTGGTCTTAACTGGGCATTATCTGATTACTTAGAACTATTAGAGTGTAATTAATTCCATTATCAGCCTTTTATAAATATAATGTTTACTGTATTATCTGGATGTCACTTAGTCACTGCAGGGATGATACTACCCATTTAATAATGTCAAGATAACAGTATATAATTAGAGAATGTCAATGAAATAGTGTTGTGACAGGCTAATGACTTCCTGTAGCAGCATAAATGCTAAAGCTGAGCATCAGTGTTTATAAGATAAATGTCTGCTTATTGTAGTGTTTCCTCTCAAAGCTTGACAATGTTCTGCAGTTCATGTTCTGCTATTGTGACTCGGTGCTTAATGTTCACACTTAYTAAAAACATTCTGCCAGAGACGAGCAGCTGACTGGGAAGCAGCTGACTGCCTGGACTGTGTAACAGAACAGATGCTGTGGATTGTGCTGCAAGTCATCTTGAGCTTTTAAAAAATGTACATCTGCTAATAAGTTAAATGTTAGGTTAAATGATTGATTACACCCATCTGAATTACATCCCCTTGGTAAAGCTTATTAGGACTACTAGATTTGGAGTTGCTTRCCTTTAAATTGAAGAAGGAAGCAATATAATAGTAATGAAAAGTGCCCCAAATACACTTTTGGGCTAACTTGGTATTGTCATGAAGGTGGCTTAGCAGCCATCTTCAGCTKCAGGAAGTCCTTTCTGCTCCTCATGATGGTTGGTCAGTTGCTCAATCTCAATTTTAAGTTAAAATATTTATATGCCCTGTATTTGTGACAGAGATTGATGGATGTCTTTTCCTTGCAAGAGAGCTAAATTTTGTTCTTTAATACCAAAAGGAAACTCTGTGTAGCCTCCTAAGCATTAAATTCTAGATTTTGTTGGTTGCTCGCAGAAGCAAAGACGAATCTTCCCTTTGCAGCTCTTCGCAGCCCAGGTTTGGACGTGACATCTCCCCCAAACGTTGGTCTCCGGCGAAGCGGCCAGATTGAGGGGGTCCGGCAGATGCACCACAACGCTCCCCGGAGCCAGATGGCCACAGAGAGGGACCTCATGGCGTGGAGCAGGAGAGTGGTGGTGAACGAGCTCTCTCCGGGCGTCAGCAAGTAAGATGCTGCGTGTGCTAGGAAAAAGAAAATTAAACTCTGTAACCTTTAACTTCTTCCACACCCCTGTTAAGGGCTACACAAAATGATTTTGCGGAAATCGGTTGAGGTTTTCTGAGATTCAGGTTGTAGAATGAGGATACTGGTCTGTTCTGGAGGCTTAAGGATACTAATTCCTTCACGATAGAGTTTTTCCTCGGTATTTCAGTTACAGTGCTCCTGGAAGGACTTCTGCACAGGTTGCTGTAGCAAGGCAACAAGCAGCRTTTAAATGTGTATTTTAATGAGACTGTCAGTTAACATAATGATTTAGTGAATAAACTGGATGTTTGTTATGTGTRATTAGGGTCCAGGAAGAGTGTCGAGCTGCCAAAGGTGAAATAGAAATTGGCCTGTACACGGTGGAAAAGAAGAGAAAACCTTCCCATACCTTACAACGGGTGAGTTAATTCAGTAGAAGCAATTCTGAGGCCTGAAGCAATTCTGAGCACTGAACAAAAATTAAAAAATCAAACTTTTAAGAAATGATTTAGAAAATAAACAGTACTGTTACTTTGTCTCTTTTATTTTCACCTGTAGTTGTAATTGTATTTATACCATAATACGCAATTAACAGTGATAAGTCACTATCCCTAAGATTTCACTAGGGGGAAAATGCTGGGGTGTGGGGAAAGCAGAGCCACAGAGGATGTTCAGTTTAGGGAAACTTCCAGACTTACAGAAACTGGGAGAAATATCAGAGGTGCCTCRCTTCAAGTCACTAGTTTTTATGTTGTCCAGAGGCTGCAGATATTTGTTAGACAGAAGGTGTTTTTCTATATGTCACATTCCAAGTAGCTGAAAAAAGTAGGGCAGCACCTGAACCAAGAACGACGTATGTGTATTCACCYGTACAAGCACCCGCAAACATGTATATGATGTATTCTCAGTTTTAATTCTAGAATTTTCCAGCTGTCATCTGTAAATGGGATATAATGTACAGTTGTTCTAATAAGGCATCGTTTATGCAGTGGGGCTCAGTATTAAACATCTTGTTTTTGTTTTCCTCTTTGCTTTTTCTGTCCTGYGACAAAAGAACGATTATCAAGCAGGCAGCGGCAGGTCCTTGAGGAGGACGCAGCGCAAGCGGCAGCACGCCTACCAAACCCGCTCCACCATCGAACACAGCCAGCAGGGAGCCAGCCAAAACGCGCGCGCGCGCCAGGACTCGGACAGCTCCTCTGAGGTCTGGTCCATCARGCGGTTCTTTCAATGTGTTCCTTGCTGGTACAACAACAGTAGGGTTGGCAGCAGATGTACTTCGAGTCCTGCTGCCTTTAAGATTCCAAGTTCCTTTCTCCACCTGGGAAGGAACACTCAGTTCATTGAGTCTCTCAGATTTTTGTTGTAGTGTGTTGATGTTGGAGAGAGAGAGGATCATTTATCTCAATGACAGTCCAGTATTGAAAGCTAGCTTGAACAGACATTGCATTGAACAGACAGAATAGATGTTAACTTCACACTGAAATACATGAATCAAACACTGAAATAAGATCTCATACTACGGTTCTAATACCACTAAAATTCACAYTTCTCTTGCCATAGGAATTACACAACCCTATAGTTTAATACTAATTAGAATATAGAAAGAAATTGTGGACCTAAAACTAAAACAGTTGTTGCATGCAATGCTTTCCTCAGATGAGAGAAGTTGTATAACTTAATTGTAAATGGGAATTATATATTTTTAAAATTTGACCAAAAGTCTTTTGTTTTAATACAGGAAGACGAGACAGTTGGCACAAGTGACGCGTCTTTGGATGATCCTGTGACAGCGTGGCAAAGCGAAAGCAGCTCCAGGTAATTTTTTTTAGTCTCCTAATTATTACATTTAGTGATTATACGATTAAAGTAAGATCAGTTAATATTGTAATAATATGACTGTAAATTCAAGAAGAAGCTTCCTGCTCTTATAAACCATGTAAATTCATTACACCTTGTGAAAGACTGACACAAAGGGACACATCACACCMTGTCTAGTATACTTGGATATTTTAAAATGGCCACACAACAAAACCACACAACAAAATTCTTGGTGTCCATCAACAGATGTATCCTGGTTTGTATTAAGATGTCAATGCAATTGTGGAAGTTTTTATAATAGATCTCTACTCTGAAAAGCAGTGTGGAAAAGCTCTTCATATTGAACACTCRCTTTTTTGCAATTCTGCAGGAAGATGTTTTTTGTTTTGTTTTTCTTTTTCAAGAACAAGAATTTTTGAAAGACCATATGTAAGAAAGTGTCTTTTTAAGCTAAGAATGGCTTGTAACATAGGTGCCAGTCTTTTGTTTCTACTGGAAATATTGACAGAAGTGTACATATGGTTCTTCCATATGTATTTATCCTTTTGTGTCTCCTAATTTGTTCTATTGTCAGCACATATTTGTGTACCAGTTCTACAGTCTCAATCTTATTTTCAATGCTGTATTTCTATGGCTAGAAGCAAAGTAAGTTAACATAAATGCAGTATGTGAGTTRTCTGGATGTTACAGAAGTCAGCAAAGTATTGTTATCTTATAACAGTATATAAGCCCTTGTTATCTTAATTTTTCTATATGGTTCTGTCAGTTCTTTTAACAGTCTGCAAATCCATGAGATAAATAGTATGAGAATAAGTATAAGCTATAATTTCAGTTTTACGTGAATGTGCAACTGATGAAATAATGTCATGAGATGTATAAATTTGATACCCATCAAGTTTTCTTTAAATTCACCTGAGAATGAGTTCACTCTAATTCTGCCATCTGTTCCACATAAATGCTAAGAGCACATGGAAGGATWTGGCCTCTTGTTCCATTGTATGAAAACTGAAGAGCTGTGGGTTTTTTTTTTTTTCTTACAATTTTGTATTATCTACAGTGATTCATCCAGTGAATATTCTGACTGGACAGCAGATGCTGGAATTAACCTCCAACCTCCAAAGAGGCAAACCAGGCAGGCAGCTCGGAAAATCTGTAGTAGTTCTGAAGATGAAAATCTGAAGGGAACAAAAGGACAGGAGGAAAAAAGAAGGAAACTTAAACAGCCTAGAAAAAAGGTTAGCATTTCTAATTTTTGAGGGTCTTTCTGACTCTATGATTATACATTTTTTTTATAAGTGGTTTTATTTTCAAAGTAAATTTTTTCCAAAATAAGTATACAGTAAGAAAGATGCCCAGAGAACACATAGTAATGCTGGTATGAGAATGGTCTGCTTTGCTTTTTTCATGCTGTTCAACATAGATGTGCTTCCTTTTTCATGTGGACAGTTCTCTGTTGAGAAATTTACTCCTAGATTTACTCTCTTTACCGTAGTCATATTTTCTCCAAGATGATTCTGTTATAAAAGCACAATACATCTGTATTACATCTACATTTTCAATTTTTTTTTTCCTTTTCCTACTTTTTAAGGTCAACATTTAGAATGTTTCTAAGGAAAGAAATTAAATGTGTACTGTATTGCTGAAAGAACATTTCTCACTATGTAAAGCCAGGGTTTTTGGACAGCTGGCATTCCAACATTTGCTCAGCCTTTACATTTAGTGGTATAATCAGTTGTTCCTGTACTCTGCCATAGCGATTATAACTCTTACTCCAAATGTAATGTAATATATTTAAGAAACCAACTGGACTGCTCTCGATGGACGGGGAACCGAGCGAGGAGTGGCTTGCCCCGCAGTGGATCTTGGACACTATTCCGCGGCGCTCACCTTTTGTTCCCCAGATGGGAGACGAGGTAATGACTGAAGCAACCTTGAAATTCCCGTCCAGGCTGGTGAGCTTGATTCAGTCAGGATTATTAAATCAAGGAAGTTTTTCAGTGAATCATGCTCAAAGTAGTCCAAAGTTGGATTTTTCAGAAAGCCATTTCTTTGCAGCTGGCTTTTCTACACCTCTTTCTGCACACATGTGACTTATAACAGCAGTGAGAATTGATTCTGCATCGTACAAAYGTGCGTTTCTTAATGATCCCAAGTTTGGAAGCCCATACTTGTTGCTGCTTTGTCAATAATAGATAAATATTTTTATGAAGAAAAGTGCTTTAGAACAAACCAAGGAGTCATGTAGTTGGATTTAAAAAGAATGATGTCTAAGTGTTTGTTGAAATCTTTGACTAAACAGAAATTGAATTATCAATAAAATAAACTTTTTCTTATTTCTTCTAAAGATCATATACTTCAGGCAGGGCCATGAAGCTTATGTRCGGGCAGTAAGGAAAGCCAAAATTTACAGTATTAACATGCAAAAACAACCATGGAACAAAATGGAACTCAGGGTAAGTTAAATAAAGGGCAAAGGCGAGAGGCCCTGGGGTTTTTTTTCAAATGTAAACTTTGGTGCCATCTCTGTGGTTAAAAGCAGAAAATACCATATTCCTTAGAACCAACCTTCCACAGTTAAATAAAACATGGGTATCTTTTCCATAAATATAGCATGAAAATGAGCATCTTGTAGCTTTCTTTCTAAGGAGGCTGTGTTTTGGTAATGAAATATGTTGCAGATGAAATTACTTGTATTTAGCATGGAAACAAATTTGGTTTTTTATTTATGCACATTTGRTAAATTAAACATGGGTATGTTTCTATTTTTAACAAGTTAAAATAGTACTATTCCATACTTATTCATCAATAGGAACAAGAATTTGTGAAGACTGTAGGAATTAAATATGAGGTTGGACCTCCCACGCTCTGTTGCTTGAAGCTTGCATTCCTAGACCCAATCACGGGCAAAATGACAGGAGAATCATTTTCCATAAAGTGAGTAACTGAAATGATGGTGACTTTTTCAACAAATTTTCTTGTAATTTATAGCCTTACCCTTTGCTTGTTGTTTTTGTTGTTCTTTCAAGGCGTGATGATAGTATTGGTTTATTATAACACCAAATTTGATAATAAAATGCATGAAATTTTGTTTGGAGACTGAAAAAATTGTCTGTATTGACATATAGATCTATGCTTTTGGGTAATAGAGTATGTTTATTTTTCTTTTTTCATAAAGGTACCATGATATGCCAGATGTTATTGACTTCCTCGTGCTGCATCAGTTTTATAATGAAGCCAAAGAAAGAAACTGGCAGATAGGTAACTACTGTTTTAGCACTTGGTGTGTTGGGCTGCATTTTCACAAGTTATTTGATAGGGTACAATTCAGTGGGTGGCTTTTTTTTTCTTTTTTTTTTCTTTTTTTTCTGAAATTGAATAAGCAGTGTATGTGTAGACATTTAAACACAGTGTTTGCAACCAATGGCAACATTTTAATATATACGGACCTTATAATAGACTGTTTTATGTCATATTAAAGAACCTTGGTGGTTATAAATTTCTTTTTATTTTGTGTTTAATGTAAGAATCTTAGCATATTTGGTTAGTCTYTGATGTTTCTGTGACATTGCTACAATGACACGTGACAAAAGATTGATGATAAACACGTGGTTGCCAAGATTGATATTGTGGCAATCATGGGAAATTCTGCACGATCCTTGCTGCATTTGCTGTATCAAAAGAAAATAAAAATGTGGCAAACTATTAGTGTGTGTTGGGGGGCAGAAGAAACACCTGTGTTGCTGTGATTTGAAGTGTGGGAATACATGTGGTTTATTACTAGAAATGTAAAAGTTGTCTCTTTGGAGAGATGACTTTATCCCTTTATTGCAAAATGTAGGAATCCAAGTAGTGCACGTAAAGATCAGGCTTATTCTCTGCAAGAAGTATTTAGCAGTTACTTGCGTTGCTCGTCAGCCAAATTCAGATTTTTTTTTTTTTCCTTTTAGGGGATAGATTTCGCAGTATAATAGATGACGCTTGGTGGTTTGGAACTGTGGAGAGTCAGCAGCCTTTCCAGACAGAATATCCTGATAGTTCCTTCCAGTGCTACTCCGTCCAGTAAGATTTTCCATGGTTGTGATTTATCAGAGATATTCACACACTCCTGGGTCTTTTAGGTGTTTACTTATCACTTAAGTGTGTTCATTTGAGGATGAAAGACTCTTTTTCCATTTAAATAAATGATCAGTCCCTTTGCTGTTATTTATTTCTTTCCAACCTTCTCAGAAAACAGCACTGCCAGCAGGAACAGCAGTGCAGTGAATATGTAGGAGGCACTAGGGAAAAATACGGAGGTGGGCCTAACTGTGACATTGGCCCATTTCTAATGGACATGACCTTTTTATTTTACGTCTGTTAGAGAAAAGGCATGTTGTTATATTTGGTCAGATGACGAATCAARTGCTTCATGCATTTGCACTTTTCTTCGTAGCTGGGACAATAATGAAAGAGAGAGGATGAGTCCGTGGGACATGGAACCAATTCCAGAAGGAAGTAAGTGTGCTTTAAATTCATGTCCAGATATCATTATATGCTACTAGTGACACTACTGATATTTAACTGCTGTTGAATTCTCCATATTTAGCTGCTTATCCGGAGGAGGTTGGTGCTGGAGTTCCTGTGACTCCAGATGAACTGACAGCTCTTTTGTACAAACCCCAGGAAGGAGAATGGGGGGCCCATTCCAGAGATGAAGAATGTGAACGAGTAATTCGGGGGATCGAGCAGCTTCTTTCCCTTGGTATGTTTGGAGAGGGGGCAGAAGGATTAAGAATTATCAGCATGATGATGTGTAACTGTAGGGCAGACGGGGTGAGTTGCTGGGAGCTGGAATGCAGTGCTTGTCTAAGTCAGTGAAAAGTCTTATTTATTTCTTATGGTGCCCCAGTTTTACTTCCCTGTTCATGAGGTTTGACCTACTTCCTTTCAAGTTAGAGGATTTTTAATGACTTGTATCCAAATACAAATGAACGAAATATTGACTTAAACCCTCCCTAGCCCAAAACCAACCAACAAATCCTCACCAAACATCCTCACCAACAAGGACCTTGGAATTAGTTTTGCAGTTTAACTCTGCTGGCGTGATACTGTTATTTATACACAGGGCACTTCTGTACCCTTAGTCTATATGACTTTTTGTATTAGTTCAATTACAAGTGCGTACACCATGTTGCTTTTCAGCAGTGCAGTTGACTTCTGCTTGTAAATCACAAGTGTGATACTTCAGCAGTGCTTATTCTAGTGTAATTAACCGAGCATGCAAGAGGCAGAATCCTCTCCTTTGGGTAGTGACTTGTCCAGCTGCAGCTCAGTGCTGCTTTGGACAAAATATTAAAAAGAAGACCCAGAAACCATTATAAAGAATTTAGTTATTGTGTGACTTCGCTTCTGATATCTTCTACAGCATCTAAATTATTTTGTTCTTTTGTCTTGTAGACATTTCTAATCCCTTTGCTGTTCCAGTGGACCTTAGTGCCTATCCCATGTATTGCACTGTAGTTGCTTATCCAACTGACCTCACCACAATCAGGAGGAGACTTGAAAACAGATTTTATAGGTAATTTTAATTTATTTGTTCTTAATCTGCGTTTTCTGTATCCAAATCTAGAACAATGTGCTTAGCCGAGTACCATGTAATGCCCCTTTAGTAATCTATTTTGGGGGGAGTCATCAGCCTAAGATCAGGTTTTACTTGGTCTTGTTCAAAGTGAATCTGAGTAATACTTTCTTTTGGCCTTGTCATTAAAATAAAAGCTGGTACCTGGATCTGGAGTGTACTTTTTTTGTGTGTGAAATACTGGCCATATTCTCTGTATACATTGTAGGCAGAGCATATTTGCTTCACCTGTATCTCTCCTGTCTTCGAACCAGTTGCTTTGCTCATCCTCCAGTGGCCAGCGTGAGCTAAGTAGTGCTATTTTATTTTTATTATTTTTTTTTAGGAGAATCTCAGCACTTATGTGGGAGGTACGTTACATTGAACATAATGCCAGGACTTTCAATGAGCCAGACAGTCCTATAGTCAAGGCAGCCAAAATTGTAACAGATGTCTTGCTTCGCTTCATTGGGTAAGCATGGGGTTTTTTATTATTATTTTTATTTGATAGAACTGACATCTTGGATTCTGAGATATTTTATTATGTATTTTGACTTTTGTTATTGCCCTGCAGAGATCAGAGTTGTACTGATATATTAGAAATATATAACAAGGTGAAAGCAGAAGACCTAAGCAGCACTGATGAAGAAGAAGAGGTAATTAACTATGATTTTTTTTCATTTTTAAATGCAATATGTGGAAGAAGTTGGAGAAATAACACAAAGGTTCTACAAAAATTAGGATTGACAATAAGCTTTTGAGAAAAGTCTGTTCAGACTCAGTTGGGACAAGAAGCTCCTTCCACTTGGTAAAAYTGATTCATAGAACTGCCTGCTTAACCTTCTTTAAATGCACAATGGGTTTTTTGTATGACGAAATATTAGCAAGGGGGGGAATGTGAATTGGAGTTGTTATTCTGGCCGGGAAGCCGGATGGGCAGTAGCTCTTTCACTGTCAGCGAGGCAGCAGAACTGGTTTTCTTTTGTAATTCCTTGCTGTTTCCTGTCAGTTGTATGATTAAGGGCATGATAGAAACCAATTTAGATATCACTTCCTTTACTTTTCTCAGTCTCTTTCACCTTAAAGTACCCTTAGAAGTAACCTTAAATGCAATTTGCACATGTTTTAAAATGTGCTGCAGTTCCCATTTTAAGATGGGATCTCTTAAAACCTTTTGTTTTACTTTTTCAGTAGCTTTCTAATATATAAGCTAATTAGAATAAAATACAGTTCTGAAGCTACCTCGCTCTTCCCTTCCCCTCCGTGTCTTCCATTGTTGCAGTTTGCAAATATTTAAGTTAAACTTGATTGCTGGTAGAACATTATGTTTCTGCAATAGCCATAAACATAGAGATGTTTCCTTTGTAACTCTTCATAATGGACTGTTGGGCAACAAGGTTTGTTTCTAAGGGCAGCAGATAGTTGTTAACTTTCGTCATCTCTACTACAGAGTCACTTAATGTGTAAGTTGCACATTTAGGGGTGCCATTGCCTTAGATTTGTACATGAAACTTTAAGAAGACTGCAATTCAGATGTTTTATTGCCTTTATAAAAATAAACATATAGTAACTACATTTATTATCACATGCTCTTAAAAGAGTATTTTGAAAGACAATACCTCTCTACCTATTTTGTTCTGAAGTTTATTGGTTCTGGTTTGAAACTAGTGTCCATTTTGCTTGAGTCATTCATTGCATTTAAGCACTTGAGAACTGTGCCTGTGTTTTCATATCCTCGGTGGTCGCCCTGCTGTGTGTRCCTCGAGCAAGGGTGCCTGGTAATGGTTACCTTTTCCTTTAGGTGGCAGAAGTAGATGTGGATTCAGATGCTCCGGGAACATCCTCTGGAAAAAGACGAGTGAGTAGAGGCTCCTGGTTGACCTGGCCTGGGAAGGGAGGTAGTCTGGGTACTGAATTGCCGGACCCATATAGGTCTGGAACAGCTTAAATCGGTCACAGACTACACTGTAGGTTTAACTGAGCAGATTAGTTGAGTACGTGTGAGTGTTGGCTGTTAGGTTAGTGTATGGGAAAGTTGATTCTATTGCTGAAGAGTCTGTTTTTATTTTATTTGAAAATTGTTCAGAACAAAATCAGTTTGCAGTCCAAACTGAGTGAAAATTGACAAAAATTTCATGTATTACTGAAAAAAATATTTTGAYCAATTGCCCATTGTGCTATGAACTATGCTTTAATCTTACTGCAATTCTGTTTTCAGTTGTGGACTTCTTTGAATCGTATTCCTTGTCAATTAATAGGAATGGAGCATTTAAAATCTGCATATTTGGAAAAATGACAAAATATATCTGTTTCCCTGCAGGTAAGGCGGCCAATGAAAAGACAGCCTGTGAAAGCAAGCCCTGATGCTTGGAAAGAGCAATGCGAGCAATTATTAAACCTGATTTATGAAAGAGAAGACTCTGAGCCTTTTAGGCAGCCAGTTGATCTCTTTTCCTATCCTGTAAGTACAGCTTTCATATTCCAAATGAAAAAAACTAGTATTCATCCTTTGGCAAAGTTCCACCTAGGCATTKACTAAGCTCTGCCTTTCCAAGCTGGAATGGCCCATGTTCTGCTGCTGTTTTCAGAGAATTATCTGCAGTAACTCTACAATCTCTCTCTTTTTCTTCCTTTTCTTTTCTTTTCTTTTTTTTTTTTTTTTAATAGGTATTTTAAGTATTTACCAATATTTTTTACCTAGGTGTTCTTATTGACACAGAATTCTGCTTTATTGGTCTTTATTATTTACTTGTGCCTTCTTACAGGATTATCGAGACATTGTAGACACTCCTATGGACTTCAGCACTGTGAAAGAAACCTTGGAAGCAGGAAACTACACCAGTCCCTTGGAATTCTACAAAGATATCCGATTAATATTCTGCAACTCTAAAGCTTACACTCCTAATAAGAAGTCTCGAGTAAGTAAATGCCTTTTCTACAAAGATCCTGCCCTTAATAAATACAGTCCATGAAATAGAGTCTGCATCCAGAGAGCRAATAACTGCACTTTTTTTGCTCACCCGGATCCCTTTTGAGCTGAATACATTTTTATCTGAATTCTCTTAAAGCTTAGGAGAAATTCTATGGCTACTGCTGCTGTCATATGGCTCCTGCTGAATGTTTGCAGCAGGAAACTGATTGCCAGTGGCTTATATTTATTCAGTGATTTATTCCTGAAATGGAGGTGATTGTTTTCCTAGATGTGTATATATAGTACTATATTTTTAATATAGTGTTAATGAAATATTTTGCATTTTTTTCTATTGCTGGAAGAAACGAGAAGCATTGTGGTGTTTATTATTTTCTGGTTTACTTCATGTACTCTGCAGTGCTTCTGCTTGATGTTGGCTTTGTTGCCTGCCAGTGGGCAATTTTGTCCATGCAGCAACAGGAATTTACATAGGCAGAAAAAAATGTGCTGAATTGGAGCCCTGCACAGAATGTGGCAAGAGGGAAGAYTGAAATGCTGGAAACAGGGATACGTTTTATACGAGCTAGATAAAATGACTGCAAAGTGTAATGAACTGGCCAAGTAAACATAGTTATGCTTGATATGTGATTCTGTGCAGTCCATTGCCTCTCGGCTTATCCTAAACGGTTTATGATCAAACTCTTCTGCAGATTTCCAAATGCTTTAGTCATGTATTGTTTACACTCATAAAATTGCCCATTGGCAGGAGGACACAGATGCAGTTATTACCGCTGCTGATGGCAAATAGAAAATTCAAATGGCTAATGTCTTCATAAGATGAAGGTAGAAAGAATTCCTACTATATTTTCAGACATTAAGCAGAGTTGGTGTTTTTATGAGCTTATTATTATAAGGAAAAGCTACACACTAAATAAAATGCTTAAGGTCTGACAAAATCACATCTCCCACACACATCATTGAGCACATTTGAGAAGACTRTTTGTTACTGTGCTGGCTAATATTTCTAAATGGAACAGGAGCATTTATAAATTTAAAATGCATGCCTTTTGGGGCTGGACAGAGCTACCATTGTTTCGGGCACAATRAGACAGAATTTAATCTGAAAAAAATTTTATGCAATGTCTAAAACATGTGGTTAAGCAAGATTTTATTAYGCTAGGCACTGTTGAGCAGGAGGAGGAGAGTGTGCTGTAAGGTCCAAATATATGTGCTGCTRAACGGGAGGGAGCAGGAGGCCGTGCAACGTTATTAAGCAGCTCAAAGTGCTCCGCTTGGCTCATCAGTGGCTTTGCAAGTGCTGTGTTTCATGCAAGCAGCTTTGAGAGGAGCCAGCCTGATGCGGGACCCTGTTGTGGGATAGAGGGACCCCTCCTGAGGGCCCTCAGTGACAGAGGAAGCACAAAAGCCTCCCCAGCCGCAGGTGCCCTGAGCTCCTGCGGCTGGGTAAGGGCTGGAGRGTGGGCTGGGAACAGGCTTTGAAGACCAGGAAGTTTGCTTGCTTAATAAGGAGGAAGCTGGTAAGAGATTGTACAAAGGCAGACGGTCTCAGCATGTTCTGCATGCTTGGTRCCAGAGGGAACTTGGTGAAGGGCTTATTTACTGCTGCACGCTCCCTGGGGATCTCCAGTCTTGTGTGGCAGCGAGTGGGCAACTTGTGAATTGGCTCGTAATTCAGTGGTTCAGAGCACGTAGGCCCGTGGATACGGGTGAAGTGCCCGGGGAGGTGGTGTCGGTGGGAGGGCTGGGTGCAGCTGGGCCGTGCACCCCACGTCCCAACTCCTGCCCAGCGCCTGCCAGCGGCCCAAGCTYCTCCTGACCCTTTCCCCCATCCTGAATTGGGGACAAGGGGGGCAAGATCCTGCGCGTTAGAGCCAAAGAAAGAGATGTTGCTGTAATGTAAGAACCTGGGCAAAAAYAACCTTTGTGAATGGAAAGAGGTTTTACTCAAAGAGACTGCAGGAAACATGAAGAGGTTATAAGAGGATGACAAAGTCCTGCTGACGACGTCCGTGCAGTTTTCAGAAATGTAGGTGTAGTAGAGAGGGATGAGGCAATTCRGAGCTTTGTTTAATTTATACTGAACTTAATTATTCGTTTGTCATAATTCAAAATACACCCAAAAAGGGGGCAGTGTTTCAGTGCTGCAGGTGTCCATTTTTTTTTGATCTTGTGAATATCTTGTACTGTAAATACTTTAAACCTCTTTATGAAAACACTTCTCCTCCTGAGGATAAGCATGTACCACTAATGGAAATTCCCTCTGAAGATTCTTCTAGCTGAATGTCAGCGCTACTTTTTCTTTTGGATTACTAATAATGAGGTCTGGCTCGCTTTGATTTATTGCTAACCTTCAACTCACTCAGCTTTTATTAAATACAACTCTGACTTCTGACTCCAGATTTACAGCATGACTCTTCGACTGTCTGCCTTATTTGAAAATCACATGAAAAACATCATCTCTGAGTACAAGTCAGCCCTGCAGTGTCGGAAGAGGAAAMGGCCGCGGTATCGGAAGCGCCTACGAAGCAGCAGCAGCTCCCCGTCGACGAGCAGAGCCTCCAGGTGGGTCCTTGGCCRGGGACAGCTGCTATCAGAACCCTGTGAGACCGTTCCAGCCAYTATCAGATAGACCTTTGCAACTAACCAGTCAAGGGCAGAGCTGCTCATTTCCTGGTGCAGTTGCCCTTTCGGGTGATAAAATCATGAGGTCAAGTGCCGTGCTCGCTCTGGGGTTTGTACATAGTTYTGGAAAGTGAAAACCTACTTGATTACAGGTCTTCCTTCTGGGCAAAATAAGAGTTTCTTTCTGCCTCTTTGGTAACTGTGCAGAAAGAGGTGTGTAACACCTTATTGACTTCCAGATGACACGCAATCAAAGTAAACTAGACATTACAGTTTTAAAAGGTGAGATAAAATCTTGTTTCTGCAAAAGCACATGCGTTTATCAAGCTGAATGACGTTGACACTATTTTTAGTGTTACTACAGCTGCTCAAGTGCTGAGATATGGAAAGCGTTTGTACACTTTCGGGGAGGGGATTGTTTTTTCATTTTAAAGGTTTTTTGTTAACAGTTTTATCTCTGTGGGGTGTTTTACGTCTTCAGCCCAAAAGGGAAACAGAAGCAAATGAAGATGCAGCCTAAAAGCAACCAGAATACCTCACTGCCTTTGACCAGGACTAGTTCTTCAGTTTCATCTCACGGTGGGTTGATTTTTTTTTTTTTTTTTTGAGAAATTTGAAGAGAAGTAGTGTCCAGAACTAACTTGTTTGTAGCAAATTTTGTATGCAGAATGATGAAAGAGTTGGAAGGTGCTTCAAATTCAATTTAAACCTTATGTTCATGAGAGACAAGTACAACCCACCTATTGGATGAGCAAGCAGCCAGGGTGTGTAAATGTGTCATCAGTGGCTTGGGCCAGCTAAAATGGGCCCTGTGTCTGTAAGTGGCAGTTATTTGAGAAACTCGGTCTCTTCTTGGTGAGAGTTAATTAAGGTGACAAGAACCCAGACTTTCTGTATGTGGGCACCTCTCATACAGCAATTTCAAACACAGTGAAGTATTTTATTTTGAGTTACTACCACTCAAAGGAATCTGCATCCTTTCGTGATTGGAGAGGGAGCCTGGGGAGACTCAGCTCCTGAAAAGGCAGCTAGCTTAGGTGATGGAAAACTTCCCCAAATTGCCTTGCCTTTCAGCGCTGCAAACAGCAGATACACAGTGCTCTGTTGAGTTGGTGGTGACCTGTCTATAGTTTCAGATACAACGGAGGAACCTTTGGGTTCAGCCACTGGTGAAGAGACGGAAGGCCAGCCATCCTCATCAGGCTCAAATGCACAGAACCGAGGYGGGAATACCACTGATCCAGGGAAGAGCAGACCACTCAGAAGTAAATCAACRCCGGTGAAGCAAGGTGGGGAAAACATAAGTATTGCTCTCCAGGAGACTGATTTCCCCATAAATGAAAGATATTGTTCCTGCTTGCTGCTTCTGATCATTTTGCCTGAGTCTGATGTCATGCCGTGGTCCTAAACTGTGCTATAAAGGGAAGTACTCCAGTGTATTTTTATCTTCAGGCATTCAGCAATTCTATTGAGATTTTCAATATTATTTGCTGTGTTGAAATTGTGCTTGAGGCAAGCTCTGGACTAAGGATTGGAGAACATGTATTTGAAAGCAAATAAATGCTACTTGCAAAGTGTTAAATTAATGTGTATTATTAGGTTTTAAATGAGTTTTTGAGGAGATTTTTACTTTTTTAAGATACTGTAAGATAAGATTAAGATACTGTAGCCAAAAATACCTTTCATCTGAGTAAATTTAGACTTTTGTGCCTGAGCTAGTCACTCTTAGCTCATTTTCTTGACTAGCTCTTCATTAGATATTTAGTCAACAGAGTCTGCGGTGCCTGCTGCAGGGTACGATGAACTGTGTTTAAATTCAGTTAGATAATTTTTGCCCTTAGAGCATCGCTGTCCATCTCCGTGGGATCTGGAACTGATTTACCACGATGGGCTCAGTTAGATCTCTCCTGGATGTGCCCCAAGGGCAGTTGAGATGAATGCTACTTTTTCAACCTGCTTTGGCTCAGTTGTGGCGATTATAACTGATTGGATTATTTTGTGCTTGCTTAGATCACTCTCCTGATGAACCTCTTACAAATGGTGATGGCAGAGAACTGCGGGTTGGAGTCAAGAGGAAGTTACTAAGTGCATCGGAAGAGGATGAGCATCTGGAGGAGGCCGAGGAAGAGGAAAAGAAGAAGAGAGATTTAAAAGAAAAATCTCGTTTATCTTCATCGGAAAGTGGGGAGTCAGGATCAAGTTCAAGTTCCGAAAGCAGAAGTGGCTCTGATTCAGACTCTGAATCAACATCTAGAACAGATCAGGATTACATTGATGGAGACCATGACTACAGCAAAGTTGTGCAATCCAAAAAACCCAAACGGAAAATCAAAAGAAAAATTGCCAGTGGGAAAAGAAATTGGCAGGGCAGGGGGACAGGGAGAAGAGGGAGATGGGGGAGGTGGGGGAGATGGAGCAGAGGAGGAAGAGGCGGTAGAGGTGGAAGAGGCTGTGGCAGAGGAAGAGGTGGTGGCAGGGGAGGAAGAAGAGGCCGAGGAGGCAGAGGAGCCTCGCGAGGAGCCACCAGAGCCAAACGTGCCCGAATCACAGATGATGAATTTGAAAACCTGTTTGGAGGACAGTTTGGTGAAAGTGTGTTTGGAGGACGGTTCAGCCGGCCGCCTCGGATCAAAACGAGGAACGAGGGCAGGCGAACTGTCTTGTATAATGACGATTCGGATAATGACAATTTTGTGCACACCGAGGATCCTTTGAACCTTGGTACTTCCAGGTCAGGCAGGGTGCGGAAAATGACAGAAAAAGCCAGGGTGAGCCATCTCATGGGATGGAATTATTGACAGATGGAGAACTTTGGAACAATTTTAAAAGAACTTCAATGGCCTTCTACTGCAGGGATTTTACCAGAAAATCTACCAAGCAAGTTGTGCGGGGACTCCACTCACTTTTCACAGTGGTGCTTTTCCATTATGTCAGTATGCATTTGTTTTGAAACTTCAGATCGCCACACTTCATTGGTCAAAATAAGCCTTATTCATTAGGCCTTAAATTACAGAAATTCTCCCCCCACACACTACAAGTTCATCACATTTAAGAGGCTTCCAGCTTCTCAATAAGAACATGACATTTTTGAATCATGATTATGATTTTTTTCCCTTGTTTTGTTTTTGTATTATAGAAATAGCACCTTCTTGCAGAGTTTTTATGTGGTTTCTGCCATAAATCCTTATACACAGTAATAATTATTAAACTTTTGCACAATACACCAATCCTAAAGGCAGCTATAAAATGTTTACAGTTTCTATATTGTAAGAAGGATMTGGATTATTTTAATCTTCCCAGGCCAAACAGTCATGAATTGTGCTGAACTGAAGTATGTCTATACTACAGTCACGGGGGTCCTGATGTGCTTTCTATCGGTTCTTCACTCATGTACAAAGTGACAAAGGGTTGGTGCCTTGTAAATATGTAGCAAACCTTTGATGTGGTGTGTCCTATGTGTGCATTAACTTTATTAAAAAGAGAATACTTGAGAAGTATGAATATCTAGACAAAAGGTGCCAAAAGCAAAAGTTACTTGCATCTATTTTCTTTTTGTCCGCTCATATTTTTATAGCATTAATAGATTGTGCAGCTAAGGGGTAACTTCAGCTTTTGAAAGGTTCCTCCTCTTCAAAGCTTAACGTGATTCTTAATAGTAGCTCAGCTACCTCTATTTACAGCTACTGGAAACGTAAAAGAAAATAGATGCTCTAATTCAGTACGTGTTGAAGAAGAGGCAAGAAGGAGCGGAGAGGCATGGAATTGCTTGCTAGGCTGTAACGTAGCTCTATATTCATTATATTGACACAACAAAAACAAAGCTAAGTAATTACCAGAGTTTTCAGAAATGCTTTCAGCAGATGGTGATTTGCTTGCGCAAATAGGCCAGCCGTCTCCCACACATCTCTGCTGCCACTCAGAGCAAATTTGTGTTTATTTTCATTTGCCCTTTAACCTGTGAGGAAGTGGAACTGAGCTGTGGTATCTCTGGTGGATGCTTGTATTTTATAGCAGTGCCACTAAGCTTCTCTTTACGTCCTCCAGAAGGACTCGTATATCCCAACTACCAGAAGAGAATTCATGTCGCACTGTACACTTATCTTCTGTTGTACTCCAAAATACTAACTCRACAACAGAAAGGATGTTGGCAGGAATAGTGCAGAATGTGGGGATACCTGGAAAATGTCCGTCCTTGCTGAAAGGCCAGGCTGCCTCCGTGAACAGCAGTGCGTTTCACGTGGGATGAGCTGGAGATGAGCAGCCTCTTCACGGAGTAGGGGCTGGCTGCGTTATGTATGGAATGTACATTTTCTCCCATTATCTACATGTATCTGACAACTGTATTTTGGTGAGACAGTGAGTTAAATTACGCAGAGAGAACAAATGAAAAAAGATTTTTGATGAAGTTTTTGAAGCTTTTTATTATTATTAATATGATTCCTTTTAAAACCTTCATCCAGTATCCTTAAGTTGGTTTTTCTGTGCACAGCTTGGTCAATAATTCTGGAAAACCTCAGGCAGGAAAGAGTGACCCGTGTATATTCTCAGATGCAAAGGAATTTAATTTTTGACTTTTTGTAGTAAGCACTAGCTATTTTATCTCGCTTTCCAAAAATTGTAGTTAGATGCAAAATGACTTGAAAAAATGCAGAGATTTAGTTTTGTGATGGAGGAGAGTATATCCTAAATTGCTAAGAGCATTAATATGAGTTTATGGTACAGTACAAAAATCATACTTTTTTCTTTTAATAAGAATTGTTTTGAATCAACCATAGTCCATTTCTGGACTGACTTTGGTTTTGCTTTTGATGGAAGAGAAAACTCTGAGGCTCTCCTAGTTATGTATGGGGTTTTAAAATACAAACACCTGTCTTATCATCKCTCATATATATAAATATATATATATTTATAAGAAATGTATTACTTCTTTGAATGATTGGTCCTCCTACATAGGGTAACCTGGAAAAGCATGTATGCATAGTTGGAATCATACTCCGTATAGGTGAGTTCTGTTCAGCTGGTATAAACACTATGGTTTCTGTCGTAAAGCCTGAGAATCTTGAAATGCAGAAGAAATGCTTTTCAGGTATTTCTGTCTGGCTGCAGATCCACTTACTAATTTATTTTGTGTAGGGTTTGGGGAAAGATGAAACCCGTGGGTTCCAGAGAAATCATTTTATAAGTTTGTGTATTTTAGTAACAATTAGAGTAAGATTAAATATGTCCTAAATGTATCTTTTCTATGTAATGAAGTACTGTGAAGATAACAGTGAAGCATCACTTTGCTGTGGCGTAAGTATTAATCAAATGCGTTACATGATTTAAGAGCTAGACAGCAGGGTGTGCTCGAGCAACAGCGCTATTGCTTATTGTAAAAAAAAAAAAATTTTGTTTTTTGTGCATGAGAACCTTTTTACAAGCATGAAAGAAATAACTTGGTTTTTAGAGATGTTATTTTTTACTTGGTTTTGTATCTGGGTTCTTTCYCTGAGTTAAGCTTTTGATTTCTCACAGCCTCCTCTGTGGATTATTTRTAATTTTGCAGCGACTTGGACACTGTCTCTCAAATCCCATCCTCTCCTAGGAGCCGCAGAAAACTTAGTATCAACCCAAAAGGTGCAGCAGAAGCAGCAAAATAGTTTAAACCTGGCGCCAGCGGGATCCCAAAAGGGACAGGGCCGAGAGCAAAGCCCCGGCGGCACCTTGCAGAGCTGCTGAGCTCCTCCTTGCGCTGGAAGAGGATGTGAAGGTCGGACACCGTACGGTCCTGCAGCTGCCCGGGCCCTCTGCGCAGGCAGGATCATCCCTCGAGCATCGCCATGTCCCGGCATCCTCCAGACACGAAGCACCGGAGGACTTGGGGACCCTCAGACTTCTTGAGCCCAGGGCTTGCAGCCTGTGGCTCTATTGCAGCACATCGAGCCTAGGACACGCTGTGCCCTGCAGAGCCGGCCTGGAGGCCTCGTGTGCGTCTCTTTCTGCATCCGTTCTGGTCGCCCCTCTGCTCTCTCCCTGCTCCAGGGCCCGGCTCATGGGTCAGTGCTCGTGTCCCCTTGCGCCAGTGCAGCCCAAGCCTTGCCTGCCTTTGAGTTCCTCTGCACCGGCTGCTTTTCTTTGCTCTGTTCCACCTCTTTTCCTTAGCTGCCTCTGTTTCTCCTTCCGCCTTCCGATCTTCCTTTCCTGCTGTTTGGCACAGTGTGATTCTCCTCTAGACTTTCATCAGGGAAGAGCTGCTTGGCTATCTGTGAAACTCTTGGAAATCTATGGTACCTTGATGCATTTTGTTTCAGCTAGGCTATCAGAGTATGAGATTGGGTCCTTTCCATTTTCTTCATCTAGCAAAGCAACTGTCCTCCCAATTTTGCGTGTGTTTTTTGGCCCCTGCCTCGCTGTGCTCGTTAGCGATGTCCCAGCTGCCGGGTGGTCTGGCCTAGCATGGGAGGCCACGCTGACCTCTGTGGCCCCGCGACAGCCCCCGCATGTCGCCGCCACGGCCACCTTCCCTGCCCTGCTCCGTCAGCTGCCGGAGAAGCCCCCATGCGCTTCCCGCCTCCCTTCTGGAGCAGCCCGAGGACCTTTGATGCGAGYGCAGAGCTGCCATGCAGCGTGTGCGGCTCGTGGCTCCTCTCTCCTGGCTTTAAGCTCCATCCAACTTGCTGTGTGTGAGCCCGCCTTCCTGGGAAGCCGCTTTCCCCCTTATTTTGCGCTTATTTTTTGGTCTCTGCCCTGCTTTGCTGCTCTTCTCCCCAAAGCCCCAACGGGAGCCTCTAGGCTGAGCTCCGGGCTGCGCGTTTGGGTCCCACAGGTCTCCATGGCGACGCGGCCGCCATTTTGCGGTTGCGAGCGGCGCTCATGGCGAGTGTTGTGGGCGAAGGTCTCCGCATGCCCATGTCCCGCCAGGGCCAGATACAAGTTCTTCAGTCTCAATCTTACCCATCCTAATAGCGGTTGGAGGTTGGACRAGGCAGGAGGCTGGCGCGCCCAGTGCAGCCCTGCAAAGTCTGTCGGGTTTGTTGTGCTTTCCAACACTTGAATGCGTAGAAGTAAGATGGTTGACGCTTCAACCTCCCCCAGCAATAAGCAACCCCCAATAATCTTTGGGAAATAATCTGTAGAGGAAYGTTGGCTGTTTAAAATTTTCTATCCCGTTGCATATTTTAAGGTTCCCTCTAAAAATTGGTTTAAATGTCCTTAGCTGCTTCTGCACAAGCGTCTGAAGACTGGGTAGTTCATAAAGCACAGAAAAGAGTTGGCAGTGTTGGGTAGGGAACAGCATTCCAAGTAGTTGGAAAAATATGGCAAGAATGGCTACAACATGTTGCTTTGGATGATGTTTGGAGGAGCTGCAGCCCAAGAAGACCGAGATGAGTCTCGGCAAACGCCGTTTCCGACAGCCCATCACAGTCACGCACCCTTAGAAAGAGAAGATGAATTTAGATAACGAAGAGAGAACTCAAGGTTAATATTTCCTCCTTTATTTAGGTGGTCGATGACAGGGAAGTCTCCATAGCTGCAGGCGTGAGGATGTCTTGTCAACCCCCACCTCAAGTCTCCTGCTGTCATTGGTCTCCATCATTAACAGTTTAAAAAGTATTTGCGTCTTGAGTTTTCTAGGATTTTTTGTTTGTTTTAGTTGTCATGGAAAGTTTTATAAAATGCTCATTATTTACACAATAGCCTGAATGAGCAGTTAACAATCCAAGGGTAAATCTCTGTTTAGTATTGTAGGGAGCTRTCTTTGTGTTCTTACAAGTATGTATTTTAGAAAATTACTGCGCATGTGCGATAGATAATTTTCAAATATTAGTATATCAGAAGTTTACACATTAAAAAAACTCCTTTATGTACAGTATCAGGCTGCAAAATTTAGTCTAAAAGTTGTCTTTTTTTAGTAATAGAAATGCAAAGACCTGTTGGAAGCTTGTACATTTAATGTCATGTTTCAGCCCACAACAAACTTTCACAACTGTGCTGYGTGTCCCTGAAAAGATAGATTGCCAGTGGAATTGCTGTCACAGCCTTAACTCTAGTATTATGAAAAAATGGTGCTTAACTACATTTATGTGCATGGATGTGGGTACCTGATGGGGTTTGTGAGAATCTRAAGGAAAACCAAGTGGTTTGGTGCTGCATTTGCAAACAAGCTCTGTCCTTCCATTGAGCGAGTACGGTCACATTTGTGAATTTACAGATGCATAAGTATTTGCAAAATAGTTAAATCTGTGGACAATTCAGAGCAGTTTGGGGTTTTGCTCTTTTTATTTATTTTTTGGTCACAGGTTAAGCAGGAGGGACGCACGCAAGGCTGGGCTGGCCGCTGGTCCTCGGCCTTTACAGGCGAGAGGAAAAGAAAGATGCTCCTCCTGGGTCCCCAAAACGCCTCTTTGCAGAGCGGTGGCTACTCGCACCTATTCAGAAATCAGAGGTAGAATATTATTTTTCACTAGAAAGAATATGTAGGCTATTCATTTCTTTCATAAGAGTCATTTCAGCAGAGTTAATTTAGTGATACCAGGTCTTTCAGTTAATCTCAGAGCTAGCAAGTTGCATGATTTAGGCTCTACAGTTCATGTTCTTGATTAAAAAAAAAAAAAAAAGAAAAGAAAAAGAAAAAAATGCACAGAAACTATTAGAATTATGTCTATATTCAATTTTTTTTTCAGGTGATATTTATGCCCATATCTTCACATCCACTATCTCAGGTCCCTTTAAATGAATACTTCAGGGATTTTTGATGCCACCTGTGGCAGACCAAATGTAATATTTATATGCAATGAGCTGTTAGTTTTTGTATTGTACAAATGTAAATTTGTAAAGATTTTTTTCTAGAGTTTTTTTGAAGTCACTTATGTAATTTAGGATGTTTCATTTTCCAGCTGTGGGATTGTCTTAATAAAAAGAAAATAAAAAGAGACAGTCTTACTTTGCTTTTACATTACTTGCTGAGCAGCTTAGCCCTTGAAAAGACCAAAACTTAAGAGCTTTTGACACAAAGAGAAAATTGCTTTTTGTTTTTTAACGGGCTGCTTTTATATTTGTGGAAAGGAAACGTTTATAGCCTTGATCTGGTGGGGTCGTTGTGGAAGAGCGATGCCTGGATCCAAGGAAAACCCTCCCGCGGCTGCAGCCTTGGGGCCACCATGGGACAGGCTGAGGTGGGGAAGGAGCTGCCACAGGGCACGGGGCTGGGGGAGGCCGGTACAATCTCCTTGGGAAAAGGAGGTGTGGACAAGATCAATGGGCATCTGATAGGATTGAGGAATGGGGAGGAACAGCGGGAGGTTTGGGAGGGGCAAAGCAAAGGAGAGGTCTTGGTCTGGAGACGTGCACCTTCTCGCTGTCCCTGCAGTGGCCGTGTCCCATGGTGGGGCACATGGGCACTGAGTGAGGAAGGAGCCTTTCGACCCGTGGAGCTGGGAGCTGAGGTGCAGCCTCGGAGAGGAGGTTCAGAAGGGTGGTGGTCGCTGTCCCCACGGGGTACCGGGATGGCTTTAGAAAGTCTTCTCCTTTTGACTGTCTCTCTTGCTGAGTGCTCCCCAGGGACAGGGGTTCTGAGAGCAGCCTGCAGCATCTCGCACAAAGCAGGCGGCTCTTTCCCCCACCRCTTCCAAATACGCAGCCCCTACACACAGAACAGGCCTGTTTTCCAGGCCGTTTTTGCCCAGTGGAGCAAGGAGCCGCCCTGGTGGGAGCAGCCAACTGTCCTCGCTGTGCTCGAGGCACTGGGAGTCCCTGCATCCATCCCGGGCTTCCCATGTGTCCTGTGCTGGAGCACCCGGCCGGGCAGGCAGGGCACAGCTTGGCGGCAGCGTGAGGGCATTAACTGCGCTCACAGGAGCGGAGCGGGCAGCAGCAGCCCAGCTCTGCGCCCTCCCCACGTGCGTCCCCTGCTTCTCTCGGCTCTTTCATGTGCTCCCGTGGAAGGCACTGCTGGGGCTGCCAGAGCTCCCTTCCCGGCACGCACAGATCCCAGGCGCTAATCCTGGAAAACAGGATTTTGAGCCAGTTGAATCTCTTCCTAAACTCAAACGTATCCACGGCCAGTTGGACTTGCRGCCAGTTGGGCTTGCAGCCAGTTGGGCTTTCAGGTGTGCCCCGGGGTCCGTTCACTTGTCCCCTTCCTTTCGCTCCATGTTTTTCATGCAGTCTCCTTTCCCGCTGGTCCCCGGCAGCGCCGCCCTGCTCTGGCATGCAACCTGACCCGGTGCCACGTGACGCCGAGCGAACGCGGGGGACGCTCGTCGCCTCGGTCAATATTTGCTCAAGCGCAGGGAGGAAAGATTTAACGGCTGCCGCTGACGCACGAGCGCTGCTGACCTCACGTCTTCCTCCCCAAGGCTGAGGTGGCCCTTGGGCGTCCCTGTGTCACAGATGTGGCTGGCCCAGCTGGTGTGTGCTGGTGCCCAGCATGAAGGACAGGCTGGAGGAGCTGCGGATGCGCGCACGGGAGGCGGGGGACCCCTGCGATCCGGACGACACCTTCGCCTTCGATAACCCTGTCTTCAGCCAAGAGGAGGCCGGTCCCATGAGCAAGGTTTTCCAGGAGGGCTCTAAGCTCTCCCTGGCCCTGGACAAGCTGCAGGAGCTGTCTGAGAGCATTGATGAGAAGCAGCAGAGAGTGCTCTGCTGCACCACCGAGGAGAGCATCTGCGAGGAGAAGAGAGGGCTGGGYGCCATGAAGGCCTCCTTCACCAGCGAGGCGAAGCTCGTCCAGCCTCAGCTCAGCGCCATGCACGAGAGGCTGGTGCGGGACAGCAGGCCGTGCGGCGCCGGCTACCGCATCCGCCAGAACCAGCTCTCCCTCCTGGTGCGGCGCTACCGCGACATCCTCACGCGGCACTACAGCAAGGAGACCCTCTACGTGGGGAAGCTGAAGGAGCAGATCGCGAGGCAGGCGGAGCTGGCGGGCTTGAGCCTGCCCGAGAAGGACGTCGAGGAGCTGGCCGAGCGCCCCGTCGCCCCCCGCATCGTGGGCCGCGACCTGGAGGTGCTGCGGGCCAAGCAGCAGCTGGCCGTGGCTCAGGTGCGGCACCAGCAGCTGCTGGACCTGGAGGCCCAAATCACGGAGCTGCACTCGCTCTTCCTGCAGCTGGAGGTGCTGGTGTCGGAGCAGCACGAGGTCATCAACAACGTGGAGCACTACGTGATGCACACGCTGGACTACGTGTCCCAGTCGAGCGAGGAGGTGAAGAAGGCSCTGCAGTACAAGCGGCCGTCGCGGCTCGCGGCGCTGCTCGCCGCCGCCCTGAGCCTCTGCGCCTGCTGCACCTGCCTCTCGTGCCTGGCGGGCAGCGTGCGCTGAGCACGGGGCAGCGCGCGGCTCCAGGTGGGTGCCCGGCGCCGATGCCCCCGTGCACCCGGCGGCAGCTCCGGTCGGTGTCTGTCACCTCCCCGTGCCGGGCGGGCAGCCGAGGGGCGGCCCGGCAGCACCGGCACCGSGCGGCTGCAGGACGTCCCCCGGCAACGCCCGGCAAGGAAGCGCTTTGGGATTAGGAAACAGCCTCGGAAAGTCGGGACATTTTGGTGCTGCTTTGTTACCCCTGCTGATGCACTCGGCGCCTTGGCTGTTTGCGGGCTCCACGGCAGGTCTGTGTTACCGTTCTCKGCACTTCACCCGGTTTCTGCTTTCCGGGTGTGTTTTACATTCATTAATGTAGCATGTTCATTACCATGGGGTTGCAAACAAGTGTGTCTGTCATGGGATTCACGAGTAGGATTCTGCTCCRGCTCCTGCCTTTCTGTTGCGGGCGCGCTGTGGGTGACAGGGTTAAACGCGGGGGTTTCAGTCCTTCCCGACTTGTTTTTGCAGCCGAAGGGAGGAGCCCTCAGAGCTCGCGGGGCTCAGTTGTTCTGCAGAGTCAGCTTCTCCRCTGGGATCAACTTCTTGTTCCCAGGAACTCTGCAAGTTCTGCTGGCGCAAACGGCCGAGGGCCGGAGCTCCAACGCACACATTGCCCCTGGCCCTCGGCCCAGTGCAGGGGCTCTTGGAGCAGAACCTCCCCAGGCTGCTTTTGGTGGACGTGAACCTGAGAGCAGGAGGGAGTTTCACACAGTCCCTGCAGTTTTCAGGGAGGTGGTGGAGCGATGGGGCTCTCACTTTGACTTGCACCGTGTCCAGGYTGCTGGAGTGATGGGCTGAAACTCCTCATGACTGTTTTCTGGGATCACTGTCCCCCAGGGTAGTCGGAATTTCCTAAAGCCTCCTAAATGAGAGAGAGAGCAGGACAAGCACCTTATTGACTTTCCCAGAACGTCTATTTATGTGCTGACCAGTTCAGCGTGTTACATCCTGCCTATCTTGCCCACCACTAGGTTTAWTTTTGTCTTTTGTGTTAGCCTAAATAAAACTATTTTTTAATAACCTTTTGTCTACAAATGGGTGAATTATTTCTTTGGAAGCAGCTGCCTCAAAGTTAAAGAGGAGAGAGACCGAGCTCTTACTGCACCCAATGGGTTACGTTTGTGTGAACCTAGGAAASCCCATTCTGGCGCAGGCGCGTGCAGCATTGTCATCACAGGGATATTTAACACCGTCCCATCTGYGCGCCCCGCCGGGCGGCTCGGCTGGGATTCACTGCGGCCCCGCGCGGCCCCGCRCAGGCGGGCGCTGCGGTTGAGAGCCCCCGGCCGGGAGGGCGGTCAGGGCACCGGGATTGCAGCCCGGCGCCCCGCTGCGCCCCGCGCCGTTCCCGGCCGGACAAGCGGGAGGCTGCCGCGATAAGAGCCCTTGCTCTGGGCAGCGCCTCCCTTCGCGTGTCCTGCGGCCAGGGATGTGAATCTGCTCCTGGTCTCTCCTGGGAAGCTCCTTGGCCTGTGTAAGGGGATGCCTCCCGCTTCACTTGTGCAGCTGCAAAGCTTTGTGGCCTGGGAATACAATCTTACAGAACTGGGCAAGGAAATAAGCTCTGTGCGGGGTACCCGACTGTGTCTGTGTGTGCAGGTCCCAGGCCCTCTGCAAGCCCCGATCACGAGCTTGCTCGTAACCGAGTCCCTCCCCTGCAGCACCTGAGCTCWGCAAAGCGATCCCCATCCAGCACGTTTCCCTTTTACTTCACAGAACTTGCTGTTTTGCAGACAAAAGGGCATTTCAGCAGACTATAATGAACAAGAAGAAAAATGAGACACGTCAACGTCACTAAAAAACAACAGCCATGAGACAACCAGACACACGTGACTTGTACGAAACGCTCCAGCCAGGACGTGATGGGTGCGCTAGGTCAGTCAGTCAGTCGGTCAGTAAGTAAATATTGCATAAAGATCCCAGCAAGAGAAGAACACACCAGATCTGTGAACGACACACACAGCTGAGGCCTATATGTGTATCAAATGATATAGAAGTTACAAATGGGGTTATCTTTAYGTATAAAATAGCTCAGGTTGAAAATGTGCAACAAAATTTCTTGTCTTTTTAGACCTAAAGTGTTCTGTGTTCATAATCTCAAACTGCAGTTACAGGGAAGTGTGATTTGAGCCTGCAAAGTGCTGAAGAGTTGCAAAAACCCTGGAAAAGGCAATGTCTCGACTTTGAAAACTGGGCACTCGCATCGGGTCAGTCCCTTTCCTTAATCTAACTGCTCATCAGCATAAGGGAGAAAGGGAGACTCCGTTTCACAGGGGTATTTGAATAAATTTCTCCAGTGCTTGTGAAGCACTGCTGTAGTGAGGAGTACTTCAGAGAAGTCCATGGGGAAATTAATGACATTATCATCTCTGCTTGYCTTGACTAGCATGCGGTAAGGATGGATGGAGACTGTGCATTAAGTGAAGAAAACAAAACGTTGAGYTTTGTTTTGCTTAAGAAGAGTGGATGGTCTACATGGGCACTGAATGAGGCCCAGGATTGAGTTTGTTGCTAAAAACTAAATGAAAATATGTAATTAGAGATGAAATGATACTGCACACACACAAGGGGAGCAAATTAAACCTCTGCAGACAGCCTCGGTTGTGCCATTTTGCAGCTTCTGAAGTTTGACCCAATAACCCAACGAGTGTTTTCATTTCCATCCTGCATGCAACCGCCCAGGCTAAAGCTGGGGAGGACAGAGGGGCTTTTGGTCCCTGCATTGGGCTCATGTCCCCATAGCTGGCAGAGGAGGCCGTTCTGCTTTCTGAACAGCACCGTGTTGGTCCCTTGCTGTAACTGTTTGCCAACTAAAGCTGACGCTACAACGAGGTCTGGCTGACACGAAACACCACATTTCATTTCAGTTTGTCGGCTTGATTGGAGGAAGATGGGAATAACAGTTGGGCTTTGTCAATAAAATTTTATGAAGAAATGCCCTTTCTTTTGTTTTTTGCTCCTACTTGTCTGATCTCCTCCAAGGCATTTTTCCGCAGTGGAAATCGAGCGGATGATGAAACCTCCTTAGTGTGGCCCGCTGCTGTGCAAGGCTGTGCAGCGGCTGCTCTCAGCTCCAYTCAACAGAGGCTGGCCCAGGATTTTGAAGCTACCTCTGCTCAGCTAAGCAATCATAAAGAAAATTTGCCACAATAATGACATGTGGTTTTGCAAATGCTGCTTTTTTAATCCCCATTTTCCCATATTCTCTTCTCTGTCCTCATGTCTTTACTCACTATCAGTCACTGATATAATGATGAAAATAGAAAATATTACTGCAAGMCCTGATCCTGCTTCACACCCCAGATATGGAATTATACATGAACAAGGCAGCCCTGGTGTGACATCTATTAAACCCATCCCCATTTGTGCACAGGCTGGTTCAGGCAGAAGTGACGCAGGGCACAGGGGAAGTGACACATCCATCTGCAGCAGGATCATATTCATATGAGCACCTTATGTAACTTTATAATTGTACACACCACACAACCTTTCTAGAAAGGTACCACTGGCCTTAGAAAAGACCTGGTTGGGCTCCAGTTACGGTTTGCTGGGCAGCATCTGTTACGGGCAGCACATCTCACCACAGAACTGGTTGAACTGCTTGGTAAATGATTATCCATAAGGCACAGGAAGAAATCGGCGTTATCACAGATGGTTTCAGGCAGGGCGTATTTGCATGGGTTTTCATTCAGCGCAAGTTCCTTCAAGCCTCTAGAGCCTAACGCAGTCTCTAGGGGACAAATGCTTCCCCAGAGCAATTCATTGCCCACGGGATGGATCGACCCGGAGTAGATATTTTGGGGCTTTTGTAGATCTTTTGGGACCTTAAGAACAATGAAGTTTACAAAGCCTGAAAAAAAATAAAAGATTAATTCCAGGTAGTCATTTTGGTGCCAAGGGCACCCTTTGCTCTCCTCAGTTTCCTTTAGGCATCACAGTAGCTATTCCCTGCACATGAAGATGCCATCAACCTGCAGATCTATGTGGGTGGAAGCAACCGGTGTGACTCCAAGGTATTTGCTGTCCACCCCCTGATTACAGAAGTTAATCATACAGGGAAAAAAACGCCTARTAGTGTGAGTCAAGTGCAGGTGATTAGGATGTTCTGAGAGAGGCAGAGCAAGATCAARTGGCTAGAAGCTGAAATTAAGCAGATTAAGCCTTGGAATGATGTGCTGAATGACTGTGGGGCAGTCAAACGCTGGCGGAGTTGACCTGGACGGGCTTCATCTTTCTCTGCAGTGTTTTGTACAAATCACTGCAAGGCATCTACATCATCTGCTACCCGATGGGCTCAGGTGGTGGTGTCACCTTTCCCTTTTTGCTCTTCCTGGGACATGCCCTTGAAAACCCTACAAGCTAAATGCCCAAGGCCATGCAAAGTCTCCAGGAACTTCAAACAGAATACCTGAAATGATATATGTACACAGATGTATGGACGTCTGTAGAATTATGAAAATTTCCCCATTGCTCCCAGGTTGTTCCTCCTCTTACTGCTTTTGGAAACGGAGGAGGAAACCACAGGCCTTATGGTCTTTTGGTGGTGGAAAGATCCTGGGTCTGCTCACAGCCACCAGTAGAGGATKCCTCGAGGCCTTATGATTTCTTCCAGCTGGGACGGAGCTTCATTTGCCACTCAGAGACAAGCAGAAGAGAGAAAAGTTCAGCAGTGGAGGTTGCAACATATCCAGTGACCTTAAAATGTTGTTCCCCCCACTGCTGAGTAAAGGTTGGGATTTCATTCGAAATATAGTACCTTTATGAATACTTCAGCGAAACTAGCTTTATGAATATTCCCAGTCATGACGAAGGTGGAGGACCTCTTTTAATGATTCAGAGCATACACCTGAGAAGGCAGTTTTAATTATTTCCCAGATGAGCATCATGAATTCAGGAAGTTCACATTTAAGGGGAGAAATTAAGAGAAAGCCAAACACGTTAAGTTAAAATTAGGCTGCTCA